ATATCGACTCTGACACTTACTAGTGGTCCAATATAATGATAATATGAAATTCTAATTAAGCATAATATAAAACAATAAGACTCAAAACAAGAAATAACTAATCAAGTTTTCCCCATATTTAAGAACATAAATCACTTCCTTCCTTTAAAATATATGATCACACAAACACTGAATTTATACCAATTATAAAAGGGACTTCCAGTTCTATTATCACACATGAATTCCACCGAAGACGTCCGGTCGTTCCAACATAGATATAAATTATGCACTGTCGAGGGTCGAACGACGCGAACCATAGATGCATCTATTACCCTGCTCTCGAATCATACATGCGACGCGGTCAAATATAAATTTAAGGAATTACTTCGCTCGCGGATCATACTTGCGACACGGTCACACATAGATTTCTTAAGTTATTATAGTATTCTTCCATTCTTTTCAAAATACGAAGCTCAAATGAAAACTTTTAAGATCCCAACTTTTCCTCAATTTCAGCTCCTTTCAAAACATTTAATAAGCAAACTCAATCTCGCTCCCTCTCAAGGCAAACAATAAACATAAATCAATAACAATATCAACAATGCATGAAGTAAGCCTAAAACTACCCCGGACATAGGCATAGCTAGTAGCTACGTATAGACTCTCGTCACCTCGTGCGTACGTGGCCCCCACAAATAGAAACACATAATAATTTAGTTCACCTATGGGGTTAATTCCCTATTACAAGGTTAGAAATGAGACTTGCCTCGTCTTAAAGCCCACTTTTCGATCACAATTTCGCTATAAAGCCCCAACTTGGTACCGTTCAATCCGAAACTAGTCAAACAACGTGCAAATTAATCAAAGATATACTCCAATGCTTGAAATTTAACAATTTATAAATATTCTCAACTCTGCTCGAAAAGTTGGCAGTGGGTCTCACGTCTCAGATCCTGATGAAACTTATAAAATTGGATAACCCATTCCGCTACGAGTTCAACCATACCAATTTTATCAAATTTCGATAACAACTTGATCTCCAAATCTTGAATCTTCGTTCTTGAAAAGTTTTGCAAAAATCTTGATTTCTTCCATTTAAATCCGAAATAAATGATGAATATAACCATAGAATCGTGAAGTAATAATTACATTCACATATAGAACACTTACCCCAATCCATATGGTGAAGATCGCCTCAAAAATCGCTTCAATCCGAGCTCCATAGCTCCAAATATATTAAAAACGGCCGAAACCTTGAAATACAACTTTTGCCCAGGAATTTACTCTTTGCGATCGCGGAAAATGCTTCGTTTTCTTCACAGCCCAAAATTTGCCCTTCGCGATCACGAAAGATGCTTCGCGATCGCGAAGAACAAATGCCGAGCTCTTCCAGACAGCCTCTAGTATAATGGTCATAACTTTTTGTACAAAATTCCAAATTGCAAATGGGTTAACTTTTTGAAAATTAGACTCCAAGGACTACAACTTTCATGCTTTGCTAATCTCCCAGTTCCGTATAGATTACAAGATATAAGCTTCCAAAGTCAGCCTTGTGCAACACAAATTTCTTCTTCGCGATTTCCAAACTCTTCTCGGATAGGCTATAGTGTACCACTCATAACTTTGTGTACACAACTCCAAATTCCAAATGGTTTGATTTTACTGAAAACTAGACACAAAGGGCTACAACTTTTATTTTTGGATCATCTCCAATTTCATTATAGATTGCAAGATACAAGCTTCCAAAGTTGGATCAGTGCAGCAGAAACTTTCCTCTACGCGATGGCGAAAGGCCTTCCGCGATCACGAATCACTGACCAATTTCTTTCATTTTACTCATCGCGATCACGACCAATTCTCCGCGATCGCGTAGCACACTGTTGTAGCCAAAAACCAACAGCTAAAAATGGCCTAGAAATGGTCCGAAACCACCCCGAAACTCACCCGAGCCCCTCCGGACCTCGTCCGAACATACCAACAAGTCTCAAAATATATCACGGACTTAGTCGAGGCCTCAAATCACATCAAACAACGCTAAAAACACGAATCACGCTCCAATTTGAGTCTAATGAAACTAACAAATTCTCATTTCTACGTTCGATGCCGAAACCTATGAAATCACGTCCGATTGACATCAAATTTTGCACACAAGTCACATTCGACATTACGGACCTACTCCAACTTCTAGAATCGGAATCCGACCCCGATATCAAAAAAATCCACTCTCGATCAAACTTCTCAAAAACCTTCAAATTTATAACTTTCGCCAAATGACCCGGAAATGACCTATGGACCTCCAAATCCACTTCCGGACGCGCTCCCAATACCAAATCACCATACGGAGCCATTCCCAAACTCGGAATCTCAAGCGGAAATCGATAACATTGAAATACACCTCAACCCAAATTTATGAAATTCTTCCAAAATGCCAACTTCCACAATAGGTGTCAAAACGCTCCCGAGTCATCCAAAATCCGATCCGGACATACGCACCAGTCCAAATCATCATACGAACCTATTGGAACCTTTAAATACCGATTCCGAGGTCGTTTACTCAAAAATCACACTTTAGTCAATTCTTCCAACTTAAAGCTTCCAAAATGAGAATTTTCTTTCCAAATGAACTCCGAACTTCCCTAAATTCAATTCCGACCACGCATGCAAGTCATAATACTTGAAGTGAAGCTACTCAGGGGCTCAAATCGCCGAACGACGCGCTAGAGCTCAAAATGACCGATAGGGTCGTTACAAGCAAGCTTTCCTTCAACCTCCCTGGCAGTGTCCTTTCAAGTATAAACTCCACAATTTGTAATGCTAACCCACTTAGTATAGATAAAATGGTATGGAACAAGACCCATAATGGTCTATTCTCTACCAAATTTGCCTATGCCGTTATCCTTGACCAATCTAAGAATCTACACCAAAGTCCAGGCCTGAATTTCACTTGGAGTTGGTCAAATAAGGTGCCTAACAAGATAACATACTTCATGTGGCTACTGACTCATGACAAACTCCCCACTACAATGCACCTGCAAAACAGGGGGATCAATCTGAATCCCAGGTGCTTCTTCTGTGACATAGAGGATGGATCAATTGAGCATGTCATAGTCAACTGTGAGAATGCCAAGCTATTTTTGGATAACCTATCCCACATGAGCTTAAATAACCTTAGAATCAACACCATTTTGAATAAGCAGAACAGCCAGGGATGCACAATAATCCAATCCACAACAAAAAATTCAACTCACTCCTAAAACGGGGAGAGTTGATCCGTTTCTGCCTATGGGAGATTTGGCGAACCAGAAACAACAACTGCTTCAATGGAAAGAGAGAGTATGTCTCCTGTAAAAATGCCATAGCTAAAGCCGTTGAGTTCATCCATGTGGCTGGGAAAAAAACTGACATCACTACCAATTTCCTATATGTCAAGTGACATCCTCCAATTTCCTCTTTATATATATATATATATATATATATATATATATATATATATATGCGATGGTTGGTGGTGATTTGGTTGATAGTGATGGTTCTGAATAGTAGCTAGTGGTAATTGGTAGTGATGTTGGTTATGGTAATGGTAGATGGTAATAATTTATAATGGTGGGTGGTGGTTGTGATTGAGGAAAGTGGTGATAGTTTATAATAGTGGTCAGTGTGCCAACTATAGTTGTTGATGGTGATAGGGTGGAATGATATGATCATATATAGTCCGGGAGAAATGGAAAACATTGAAGATGACTCCGAATTATTTGATGGACCATTGACTCGCTCCAAGTCCAAGAATGCCCGAGGGATGCACATCGGGGAGCTGCATGATCTTCAACAAATTGATAAGAAAATGTTTGAAGAGTCACTTGGAAGATTCATGCAAAGCATACTATGTTTGAAGTCTTGAGAATTGAAGAATCAAGACCCCAAGTCAAACTATGTATCACTGTTTCACCAACTGTTGGCTATGGTTCAAGAGGGCCCGAAGAGTTGAAAAAAATAAGCTTATGGAATTCGACACGATTTAGTTGTGCGTTACGGTTGGGGTTACGTTGAGGCTACGGTTTGGCCTGACGAGTTTTTTTGGAAAATTAACTTTGAAACATTTTTGTTTACCCATTAGGTATTTATAACAGTCTAGGGTTATTTTATTAGTGCTTAGCATATTTTGACATAAGAAAACTCTTGAGAACCAAAAGTTCGACTTTGGATTACCTGTTTTCAAGACTTGGGTTCTTGAGGGTAATCTTCTTCTCTTTTCTTTATATCTAGGGTTCTAATTTGTCATTATTGGGAGGCGATCGAATAGTTTTTCGATTGTTCCTTGAGATGTTCACTTAGGGTTCTAAATTTTCTTCTAATTTTATTATTCAGACTACTTTTGATTATCTTAATAAAACCTATCATTAGTTTTGCTTTAACTATTGTTATTTTCATATTCCACTGTTTTGTTTATCTGGAATCATATCAGTTGTATCAGAGCGTAGGCTCGGGTATTGTTCTAACAAACCCATGTTCTTCAGTCTCGAAATCAAGATCCGAATTAGTAAAAAACAAAAAGGCAAAAAAATATAGTTCTTGTTTTTGACTAAACCCTAGCCGAGTTGCTTACAAAAAAGTTTTCTTAAAATAAATTTTTTTACTCTCTAACCAAGCACTAGAAAATATTTTCCGGAAATATTTTTTTACTCACCAATCAAACTAGAAAAAATAAGTGATAAAACCACTCATTTTCCATGAAAACATTTTTTAGGACAATGAAAAAAGTTTTCCTTCGTACCAAACACACAATCAATCTCAAAAAAGCAAATACCTCAAAGAAAAGAAAATACTATTATTAGAAAAAGAAATAAAAAAGAAATAGCAGTTCATTTATGGCGGTAAATTACAGAATCCGGTGCGTATTCTCATGCAAAAAGGTCAAAAAAGATATTCGTCCTGTTCTCTCTATGCCACTTGCCACGTCTTTTTCTTTTTAAATAGCCTCCTTCTATAGTGCCCAAGTGTATTATATCACGTACTTAAAACCGAAACAAAATAATAATAAGGAAAAAAATAAAAACTTCTCTCTCTCTATCTCTCTAACGTTACCCGTTCTCTGTTCTACCGAAAATCGCGACTCTTCCAAAAATCGAAATACCTGAAAAAAGCAAAAAAGAAAAAAAAACGGATCCAAAAAATAGGCCCCGACGATAAAAATATTACGCCCCCAAAAAACAACAAACCCTAACCCTAGCTTTCCCTATTTCCCACGAACTATCCAAACATCTTTCTCTATTTCTCCGAATAGGAAATTACAAATCTGAGAGCGTTATCTTATCTTTTATAGATTTGTGTGGAGATAAGTTTTTCCGGTTGTCGCGGCGGCGGAACTGGCGGTAATGGAATGTTGGAAGGGTGGTTGTGGGAGTGGATGGTGGCGTCGATGACTGGTGGTGGTAACGGTGGCGGCGGGGGGAGATGTCTGCGGCCGAGGAAGATGATGGGTAGGGTATTTACGGAGGAAAAGCCATGCCCAATATCTATCCCTAGGGTTTCGAAAAATAATGAATTTACAGAAAAGCCCTCACAGTTTGATAAAATTACGGAAATGCCCCAACAACCAGAAAAAACTGAAAATGCGATAGACTTCTACTCCCAGGCGAGAAAAGCTTTGTGCCAACGTAGTCCTTTCGATACCGAGGATTCTACTTCTCAGTCACAGCCATCTTCTTCCTCTACCGTGCACCTTACTTTACCCAATAACTTAGCGCAGTTGTTAAATAAGCATTCTGATAGTAGAAAACGACACAAGAAGTCTCATGGAGGAACTGAAACGAAGAAGAAGAAGTCGTCTTCGCGGCAAAAGGGCGGTCGTAATAGTGGATTCTGGGACGAAGTTGAGGAATACTTTCGTGAATTATCTGTGGAAGATATTGATAGATTGTATAAACTTGGGTCGTTCAAGTTTTTGGGTAATGATACTCAGAAATTATTGTACATTCCTACTACATTTGACAATGTGGGTAGTGGTGTAAGCAATAGTGGAGTGTTGGTTAAAGAAGAAGATAATAAGGAGAGTGATCAATTTATGGATGTGGACAGTGAAGGAGGAAGGGAAACTGAATTGGTTAAAGAAGAAAAGGATGGAAATGTGAATGTGAAGCCATGTTCGTCATCCTCTTGTTTGCCACTGAGTGGGTTAGAATGGCTATTAGGTTCTAGGAATAAGATATATCTTGCCTCTGAACGACCCTCAAAGAAAAGGAAGCTTTTGGGTGGAGATGCAGGGTTGGAGAAGCTTCTAGTTGCTCGTCCTGTAGAAGGGTCAGCTGAATTTTGTGACTATTGTAGTTTAGGTGACCATGGTGATGTGTTGAACAGATTGATAGTTTGTAGTGCTTGCAGTATGGTTGTTCATCAGAGATGTTATGGTGTGCAGGATGATGTTGATGGCAGTTGGTTGTGTTCTTGGTGCAAGCAAAAGAATGATGAGATGGTAAGTAACGGCAAGCTGCCATGTGTTCTTTGCCCAAAAAGTGGTGGTGCCATGAAACCTTGTAGGAAAAGAGAGGAATCTTCTTGTCTGGAGTTTGCTCACTTGTTTTGTTGTCAGTGGATGCCTGAGGTATATATTGAGAATACTAGGATGATGGAGCCGATAATGAATGTTGATGGTATAAAGGATACACGAAAAAAGTTAATTTGTTATCTCTGCAAGGGGAAACATGGGGCGTGTGTTCGGTGCAGTAATGGTATGTCTTGCTGCTTCCTTACTTTACAGTTCCTGCATTTCTTCGTTAGATGGCTTTCTCGAAGATGTTTCGGTTTGGTTTATCGGGAGCTACTAGTTGAGATAGTTAGGACTCTTTCTGTTTCATAGCAAGTGACTTCATGCTGTAGTCTTTTACTGAAGAATTTCTGTTTGACATATCTTGTATATGCTCATCTCAGTTTTCTTGGGCTGTCATCTTATTTTATCAATCATTTGTACCTGAGCAAGAGTTAAGATTAAATAAATCTTAGTATTTGATTGCAGTGTTAATTATGCACCTTTTTTTTGTTGATTGGAATATATCTGAGGACCAACCGCTACCTTCCAAACTCGGGGACAATGGGTCGCCCCTCTACCCTTCTCCACTTAAATGCCAGGCTTAGCTCGTGTTTTTGTTTGACCTAAGTCGCAAGTCCCTCATAATTCTGCTCTTCTTCGTCCCCTCTCTCCCTACAAATCATGTAAAAGAGTGGGGTTTTCCTGATATTTACTTCTTGAAACGCGGCTTTGGAGTTTCAATGAAGTAGGAAATCAGAATAGAGCTATGATTCAGTACAATGTGAATTTGATATATCTGTTATTTTTTCTGATTTGTTCTTGGAGCTGTTAACTTTTATTGTTTAAGAGAATGTGGAAAGTTTCCGGCAGATTATACTGTTTAGGTCGTGATTTTTCCTTGTTTTCTGTTTTCTCATTTTGTCTGTGGGAGTTGGGGTGTTTTTCTCTTTTATTCGTGCTTTTTCACCTTTCTGACCAGTTACCAACTGGTGTTGACCTAACTTTTCTCAAATATTTTGGTCAGTAGGATATGAGGAGGTCATTGGATCAGAGAATTTGACCAGTAAATCTGTAAAAGTTACAGCTCAGAGTTGAAGCTGAAATTGCTGCTTAGCTTTTAAGCCGATCCTTGAATAGCGTTAGTGATTGAAAGGTTCATATAAGGAATACTTTCTTTTCAGTGATGGGAATTTGCTTGGTGTCCGTCACGCAAAGGCTTTTTGCAGTTTGAGGGGATTTGTAGTACTTACCACTTAGAAGTTGTATGTTTTTCTTTCGCTTTTCCAGTTTAATGGACATCAAATTGATTGATTCTTACATATTCTCAACCTGCCAAAGAGTCTCATAGACATACAAGGGAAAGGCCGTGTTTTCTTTGTTTCAAGAAGTCGGTTATGATTTGAAATGGATGCTAATACTAATTACTTTGAGGATAAGATATGCATTGGATCCGCTTAGTTTGCTTAATCTTGACCTTTCAAAGATCCATTTTGGTATATTCTCCCGTCTCCAAAGATTGATAAACTATGGCTTGATCCCCCTTCCCCCCCTCCTTGCGTGATGTCCTTCTTGGAAGGTAGAGGCTTCGCAATTATTGGCCTGAAATTTCCAGCTGTGGGGATGAGGGGGTTTTAGTCTCTAAAAGGAGTCTAGGATGCAACTCCGCATCATGAAGAGACTGTGCGATACCGCACCGTCAAAACTAGGTGATTGTTTAGACTTTAAGCTTGTGGATGAGCGTATATTGCAAACAAAGAGCTTATTAGAAATCTTTTCTATTTTCATTTACTCTTTTGGTGTAAATGAAAATACCCATGTGTATATAGATCCTCAGGATAATTGGTTGATGATTGTGGTTAACCTTACCTCACACCGTGTATTTAGTTGTCGACACATAGTTAGTGTAGTTGTTCTGATCTATCCCATGAAAAGACACATGTCTCCTTTTTTTTTGTCTCATTAACTTATCTTGTTCACTACATTATATGAGCTGAGACTCAACTTTGATCGAGAGTAGTAACGGGATGAGCTAAGTTTGTAAACTTGAGCTTGGATGGTTTTTGGTCACCATTAATGTCTTTGGTATATATCTACTCAATACTTTATTTTTATGCTAAGATGAAAACCTTATAGACTAAAGTCTTTAATCCTTAAAATAGAAATACATTACTCTCTCTAACCCATTGTATGCGACGGTGTTTAAGAAAGAAAGAAAGACTTTTGAAACTTGTGGTCTAAAACAAGCCATAGATATTTGTGTGGCTATAAATTATCTCATTAAGAATAAATGGTGAAATTTAGAGTTAAAATTTTCTAAATATAGAAATGTGTCATTCTTTTTGAGACAGAATGAAAAGGAAAGTATGCCACATAAAATATGGGAGTATATGTTATGGTATGTGACCTTCAATTAAAACTTCAGTTTATTTACTTTATCAAGCCAAGCTTGTATACGAGTCACAATAAAGCTTGTTTAGTATTTAAATTGTGCTCAAGCTGGGTTCCTATAATGCTCAAGTTGAGCTCGAACAACCAAATAACTGTTGGAGTATGTACAATTGAGGTGTTGATATTAACATCCAAGTGTCTTTCCAAATAGCCCTCGGGCATTCCTCTAGTGTTAAGAGCACAATGGGTTAGGCACACTTCACAGGCTTGAACCTAAACGCAAACAAAAGCCTTGTTAAGTGGAGAAAGATAGATGGTTAGGCCCATTATCCACCGAGTTTCGAACTGTGCGCCACTGGCGCTCATGGATTTCTCAGTTATTAAAAAATGTCTTTCCAAATATTTGATAATTTAAAGACTTATGTTTGGAAGAACGGATGAATTTTCATATATGAATCCAAGTTCTTACAAAAACACTACTAATTGAAGGCAATGAATTAAGAATTAGGGCAATGACTGAATTGGCTCTACAAACATTAGAATCCCAACAAGATTAGTTGGGGCATACTTTTGTTTTTCGTTCTTTTGCTATCTTGTACAGTCCCAATCGCACATCCTTTGTGCCGTTTTAATTTATTTACTTTACCTTGTTTATAAAAAGAATTAGGGGAATGGCTATTTATTCTTTGTTTTTCCACCTTTTTTTGTTGAAGAGATAATTCCAAAATGTTTGGTTGCTATTGATAGTTGATTCTAACTCTTAAAAAGCCTTAAAAATTGAATATAGTGAAGACAGAATGGGAGAATATCTTCTATTGACTATGGTCATCTCGTTTTGCTAATTTGGATCTTTTGCTTTCCGTCGCAACTCGCAATTACACTCCTTTTACCTTTTTTGGGGGGGGGGGGGTTTTGCTCAATGGCCGAAAGATCTGCAATGATGGGTTTTTGAGCTATTCTGAGGGAATCATCGATATTGGAGTAGGTGTAGTTGCAGGTGGTCAATCAACTCACGTATCTTTCAAGTTTTAGACTGGTTCTTCCAATATAACCGTATTTTGCTCCATTGGAGTATTAAATTTTGCAGATCTGTAAAAACACTCTCGTGGTTCTTTATAAGTTTTTTCTCAATGATGGAATGTAATCTCTAACTACTGGACAAACTCTTTACACCGCAATGCAATTTCAGCAACAGACAGTCATCAGTTTCTATCCGTCTAGGTCGGATTTTGGATATTTGTTCTGTCAGTGATTAAGTTGGTTCAGTTAGAAGGTGGTCACCTTACATGCTAAATATTTGGGTAGAGTTGAATATCTTTTCATTTAAATTGTTGATGCAGTTTGCTTCTCTCTCTCTCTCTCTGTCTCTCTCTCCCCACCCCCTTCCCCCACTCCCCTTCCCCCACTCCCCTTGCATTATTTGTCAATTTCTGCCCCTACATTGCTTGGAGAGAAGAAAAACAAAATAAACTGAAAGATCCTGTCTAACGGAATTGTTTGCCCTATACTATTTCTATAGACTTTTCGGGCTTGTTCCTTGTTAATTTCTCCTCTTAATGGTTGTAGGATCTTGTAGGACTTCTTTCCATCCTATATGTGCCAGGGAGGCAAGCCACAGAATGGAGATATGGGGGAAACTTGGATGTGATGATGTGAGCTCTATTCTTCTGGTCTTCTGCTTTGCGAAATTGTTATTCGTCCTGTAATGGCTTTTTTTCCTGTAATGTTGAACTGCTAGTTTTTTTTTTCGTTTTCGATTTTGGTTCTGAACTGATGTCATTTTGTACTAGATGTACTTTTGATCCATTTCATTTTGCAACAGACATATTGATTAAAATATCTTCCTTATTACTTTTTACCTGTTGTGTGCAATGCTTTTAGGTTGAATTACGCGCGTTCTGCTTGAAGCATTCAGATTTACAGGTCAATAGTGGCAGTCAACAAGTTAGAGACCCTCCAGTAGATGTTTCTTGCCCCACAGATAACAATCAGTTGGCAGCATCAGTCACAGCCAAACCACACAAGTTAAAGCTTGGCTTAAAAAATGGAGACAAAAGGGTGCTGCATGTGGACAATTCTATCTCGGGTTTAGATAAGTTGAATGATGATGCATTACAGCAGCAAGAGCTGCTCGAGAAGGACTTGAACCTTAAACGTCAAACAGAATGTGGCATTTCACAGCAGCCTGTTAATAGGGATTTATGTGTAAACAGAGATAGTGATGTGGCTGATCAGCTAAATTTCACCGTGATATTAAAAAAGGTATTGCCGCATCTAGACTAAGTAGCAATGGTACATTCACAGACTCCTAGATCATGTTGGCAAATTTTGAAAACTGTAATGAGATACAGAATTTACAGCTATGGCAAGCAAATATATTAGTCTTCGCATGTATGTTTTCTTGGGTATAGCCTTAACCCTATCTCCATTTCCTCCTTCCGCCACCTAAAAAAAAAAAAATAGTAGTTTTTTTTATTCAAAGAGCATAAACACAATTTAGTGCCCAAGTCCATCAGCGAATTCCATCTTCTTTCTTTCCATTTTAGAGCCTTGGTCAAAGGAAAGGACAAGATAATCCTATAGTCACTTTTCCATTTACTAAAAAAAGAAACCCTATTTATTCTTCTAAAAACTTTTGACTAGGCTACCAAGAAAATACGTTGAATAGAGCAGAAAACAGGGAAGCAGAATTACATTAATGCCCATTGGAGTTGCAGAAGTGTCGAAGTAGATGTTGGCGTGCCCAATACAAAAATTAAATAAGATATGATGGGCTTTTGGACCTTGTGTGACTGATTTGTTCTGGGAACTAAGTATGACTTGGATATGTGACATAAGATTTGGTATCTGCGCTTTTAACCTGTGGAATCTATCTTTTTGATCTTTTTATTCCAGTTTTATATGCCACTTTAGTTTATAAAATACTGAATCTATTCATTGCTTTTGTAGTTAATAGAGCAAAAAAAAGTTGATGTAAAAGATGTCGCTGCGGAGATTGGTGTATCTTCAGACTTGTTGGACTCAATGCTCAAGGTAATATCCTTTTGTTCTACTAGTCTCGCCCTACCTTTTTTGTATTATACACCTGATGAAAAACTGAAGCTTTCTGTTTCTGCTGAAGTTATTGGTCGAGCTGATTTCTCTTTGGTAACACACAGATACTTTTCTTGATCCACAATTCTGCTAATTGCAGGATGATAAAATGGTTCCTGACATACAGTTCAAGTTAGCTAAGTGGTTGAAGAATCATGCTTATATTGGAAGTTTACAGAAAACTCTAAAAGTTAAAATTAAATCCACAATAGCTCCAAAAGTTGAGGCTGGTGTGATGGATGGTTTGGATTCCATTAGAGTAACAGAACCCGAGATTACGGACTTCGTCCGCGTCAAGTCTGTACCACCTCGGAGAAGAACCAAAAACAATGTCAGGGTTGTGAAAGATGGTGAATCACTTTTTTCAGCTAAGGAGACACTCAACACTGATGGAGTACCATCGGATGAAGCTAAAACTAGTGTGGTTGGAAGGGAAGATTCAAGTTGTCCTAGAGAGTTTCCGTCTGCTGGTTTGCAGCAGGTATGAGAAATGTTTTATGATTTTGGTTATTTGATTATATTTGAATTAGGTCGGTTGAATCACATATAATATGGAATTAGTTTAACTGAGTTGGTTAAGTGTGGTTGGGGTAAGGCTGTAGCGCTTCTGCCTCCTATAGGCCAATGAGCAAGCCACCTCCCGTTGCCAGCTCGAAGGGCCCGGTAGTAATGACTTACTTGCTTTGGTAAAACATCAACTGAAAAGAAGCCAAATTTTCATGAGAGTGGCTTTGACATGACATTCGTTTGAGATTGACATTGTGTTCTGTACTAAGGTGAAAAGTTTGGAACTAAACTGCACATTAGTTGCTGGAGTCGAGGTTCATTTTTTCCAGTTTAGGCTTTTGGTATGAATCACATTGAGTATAGTATTTCTGATTGAACACTAGAATCAGTGAATTTTGGAACAGAAAGAGAGAAGACTTTAGAGCCCGTTTGGACATAAAAAAAATTCCCTTTTTTTCCAAAAATTTTCACTTATTTTTTGAAATCAGCGTTTGTTCATAAAATTTCCAATTTTCACTTGAAAATGCATTTTGGAAATTTTCGAAAATTTGAAGAACTCCAAAAAGCTATTTTTCCAAGTTTTTACTCAAATCACTTACAAAACTTCAAAAACAACCCCAAATTATATTCATGTCCAAACATAACTCTAAATTTCAAATACCATTTTCACTTGAAATTTTTTTTCACGATGTTTTGGAATTTTACAATTCTTATGTCCAAACGCCCACTAAAGCATGAAAATGGAGCAAACTTGAGTTGCGAAAAGTTGTTACTTATTGACCATGCCATGCCTAAGAAATGCGACACTGGTATAATAAAACTTGTGATTACAGTGTTCTGATTTGTGTTATGCTATTAGGGCTTAAGTTGTTGGGCGATGGCTGTTAAGCTTGTAAAGATAATCTGACTAGGAACCTATTAGTGTCTTTCACATCGATGGTAGCTATAGATGTTTTTGAATTATGCTATCTTTCTTTGGAAGATTATTTCCTTCTTTTCTGGCTTATTTAGCAGTTCTCTAGACTTGTATAGCAGCACGGTGTGAACCTTGATAATGGATATGCATGGCAATGAATGGGGGGCTTTAAAATTCAAGGATTAAAGCATGCAATATTCGGTGTGAATTTAAACATTGATTCCTCAAGTTCTTTTTGATATAATATTTGGAAACTACTTAAAAAGTACTCTAAATTACAATATTTTATTCTTAAAAAAGCTTAAGACATGCTTGAAAAAAATTGTAGTACAAGAGAAACGAAATAATAATTGTGTCATACTATAATGAATTTCTATCTCTAACTCCATATTGTCAAGAAGAGTTATAGCGGTGCTTTTCCTGGCTTCTTTCCTTCTCCCTCTGATTCTTCATATTCTTCAGCTTTCAACTGTTTTCTCCACTGATATTTGTAATGCTCATGTTGAACATCGCAAAATTGAGGGCTCATAGGTGGGTAGTATCCTGCAAAGTAAAAACGATAGTTTGATCTCTATACTCCCTGCAATTTGTGCGAATATGGGACAAATTTACGAAAACTCTCGCGCCCTTCCTGTAATTATATCAGCAAGGAAGGCCGATTTTTACACATATGACCAATTTACCATGACTCTCACCCTGTTCCTATAAATCAGTAAGGACTCATGCTGCGCACCAGGAGAAGAAGCAATTCTTTTCGGCGTCTTCATACTCAAAATTGTCTTCCACACTTCTCTCCTGATGCCCTCTTTAGTGAATCTCATATAAAAGGTCGTCATCGTGAATCATCCTGCCCTTGGTCCTCCCCAAAGTGTTCTAACCTTCCCCACTCTCCCCTAAATTGTGGCTGTATCTTTTTTTCTGAAAAACCTCTTGAACTTATTTTATCTTTTAAAAATAAAAGAAAAACCTCTTGACCTTATCCCCAAAAAGAAAATGAAGAAAAGAAAAAGAACATCATCAAAAAAAAACCTCTTGAATTTCCTCCCGTTCCTAGTCCTATATGGTCCTCTTGAACCTTGTACCCCTCAAAACGCCTTGAAAGTTCCTCCTCGTAATTCCTTCCCATTGGCTCACACGTTGCATTTTGTTGCCTTGCCGAGAACTACCCATCTCTTGATCTTCCCTGTGCCATAATAAATGTGGTCCCTTCATGTCACAGCTATTTTCCTTATAGCACCCTCTTGATTCTTGCATTGGATTTTAACAGGATAAGATCATTTTTGAGACCTTTTACCTCCGTGAGAAAATGCTCCTGACGGGTCTACATTTCTCGTTTTTGCAGTTGTAATCATGGTCTGTTTCAGTATTTGTAATGTTGGTGTTTGGCTTTTGAAGTATTTGAGAAATTATTCCCATCTTGACCTTATCAAAAACAAAAATTTTCATTTGGGAATATTCTGGTCAAGGTATTCTGTTAATCTTATATTCCTTCTCAAGACTTGTTTGGTAATTGGCCGACCACTATATCTTTGATGCCCTTTGGTGATCTGAATCTTCCCTATGTAAGGGGCACCGAGATTTTGTGACCTATTGAACTTATTTAGTCTGTGATTGGTTATTTATTCTTGTTAAAGGGTGTGACTTTAAATTAGTTAGAGGTAATGTTCTTTCCTATCTTGTTCCTGTACAGGTTATGCCCGAGATTGTTCCCTCAAAAGCCACTCTTGCGGGCAATTCCAACAATGATGAAGGTTTGCATTACAGATTACTGATTTCGGTCTGCATGTGAGGAATATGTAGCTTAACCTTTGTAGGAACATTGTCTTTTTTTGTTCATTTATTATGTTGCTGAAATGATATCAATTGTCAAAGGTTCTGCAATTAATAAATGTCTTTTTATTTCACTTGTATTTCTTGTGAATAGAGAATACCTGTTGTATAGATAGACGACAAATTAGATACATATGGACGATTATAGTGTCATAAGCATCTTGCATATACTTTTGACACTGGTTTGGTGTTTAGTACAGTCAAACCTCTCTATAACAGCTTCGTTTGTTCCGAATATTTTTGGATGTTATAGCGAAGTGCTGTTATAGAGAACATATATTATAACATAACATAATAATTGGTTCCGGAAAAGCTTGGCTTTTATAGTGAAGTGTTGTTATATAGGGATGCTGTTATAGAGAGGTCTGACGGTTGGAAAATGAAAAATTGTCTAGCCAGCAATGAACTGGTAGCACGACAATGGGAGACCTTGGGTTGAGTCAGAGCCCGTTTGGATTAGCTGAATACCAGTAGCTTTTAAGTACCAAGAGCTAATAGACACTTTTAAGTGCTGGAGCTGATTTTATGAATAAGCAATTGCGTGTTTGGATAAAAGTGCTGAAACCGAAAATAAACAGTCGGTATGTTTGGTGGTAAAAAGTGCTGGTGAGCATGTTTTCTGTTAAAGTGACTGAATGCCCTTAAAGCTGTTGACACTAATAATGAGCTTATTATTGTAAAATTTTTAATACTAAATTGGTTAAAATGCAAATTAATTTACAACACAATTTCAATTTAACTCTAAATTGATTAAATATAATTATCTTTAATAAATATTGATTATCTATTTACAAGGTAACTTTAGATACTTATTCAAATCATACTATAATTAATAGGTTTTGTTTCAGATAGTCAATAAACTATGCAACTCTTATTCATTTGATAGCTTATGCAGCATGTGCGTGTGGATATTTTTGGCTTTTTTGATTTGATTTCTTTGTCTCAATATTGCCATGGTTGATGGCACGGCAACTAAAATATTCACCTTGTTGACTGGATTTTCACGTGGCTACACCATAATGGTATCTGTTCATTTTAGCAATGATTTTAACAAAAAAAGCAGTGGAAATAAAAATTACTAGGGAATTTTTCCCTTGTTCTATTAGTTCCCTATGCAAATTGCAGTGGTAGAATGGAATTACTTATTTGCAGAGATGGGAATGTAGTGACACAGAAAATTGAGAAGAAATGAAAGAGGAGTTATGGTTGTTCTTGTAATTTTTTTTTTTTT